TGTAGTGTGGCCATGCTTACGCACAGAGGTTGAAAAGGCATTTTATCAAGGTGCTTCAGTACCTAAGACAGCAAGCAATAGTGGCTGCCCAGGCAGAGATTGGGGCAATTGGGCCTCTTACTGCTCCAGAAATTTCATAGTATTTGCTTTAGTGAGCCCAGTTTTTCATACTTGGTTACGTTCTGTGTAGTAAGAAATTTCCATTAAACATTAAAGCTGGAAAGGACCAACACAAGTCAGTCAGTTTTTTCATGACTTGGTGTATGGATAGTTTGGTGCCGTGACTTGGGACAGAGGTGGTAAAACTCATGAGATGGTGGTCCTCTTTAGCAAGAAAAGCCTGGCCCACTGACTTGCTAGGAAGAATGTGTTTGGCAGTTGTCAGTTGTCTGACAGTGTTACCAAGTTAGTAGATTGGGGATCTGTTTGTGTGCTCAGGTTAATCATTTATTTAGCTGGCATTCATTTGGGGCTGCTAGTCCATTTGTTAATTCTAAAAGTCATTGGACATTTGTTTAATGCAAACAAATATATTTGGAGACATCAGCATTCTAATCTAATCAGCCGCATTTGTAGAAATAAGACACTTGCTGTAATGTTTCAAGACATTATAGATTATGATAAGGACAAAATGTCTTTTGGAAGGAAATTTTCTACTTAATGGATCAGTTTCCTAAGTTGTTTATTCTGTTTTGGCAACATACTTGTGTATCTCTGGATAGAAATGAGGTGAAGTTGTAATTAAGACACATATACAGCACAGTTGTGGAAGATCTATAATTGCAATGTGCCAATTGGTAATAAAATGAGAATGTCTGGAGATAATTTTCATTAAAATTGTTTAGACTTTCCTGTTCCTATAGGAAGCAGACCAGGTGGAGGCATTTTTACAAGTAAACACACAAAGATTATCTAATCAATTATTATGTTAAAAGAGGATGCTCAAACTATTTCTTATAGTGTTCCTGCCCTTCAGTAACTCAGGCTTTTGTTTTCTGAGACTGTATTTGCCATCTTGAAGCTTTTCAGTTTCATCCCAAAAGTGTGTACACAACCACAGCTTAATTGAACTTGAGCTTCAGTATTGGCCTAAATTACCTGAAGCGCCTCATTTTTGAGTAACAGTTGTGAACATTTATTGAAACAAGGTAGTACTAAAGCTAGCTTTTAAGAGAAGAGAGGATACATAAAAGGGTTATTAGAATTATTAGAAAATGATATTTCCTTTTTGACTTTTTTCCAGAGGGTGGTAAAAATCAAGACAAGACTTAGTTTGTTCTGTTTCATCAAATACTTTCCATGTCCTCCCAGCTGGCCAGGTTCTTTTAATGTGGCATTTAAGACTTGAGTTGTGAGTCAACAAATGGACAACAACAAATGTTCAGCCATCTTATTGGTGTTGGGCCCAGAAAATTGGCAAATTACAGGCACACACCAAATGCATCAACAAGTTTGCGTGAGCCAAGTATGGGGAGGGAAGACAGCAGCTGCTGGTTAGATCCTGAAGAACAGATATGCCCTCCTCATCCTCAGATCTGTTATTGCCCCAGGTTGGGAAGTGGCAGCTGTAAGATTTAGGATTCTGGGATAACAAGTTGTCTCTTTGAACTTTTCAGCTCTAAGAGCTTCATTTTATCCACCCAGACAAAGAGAGACATTTTTGCCTCCTTGAATAATTTTTGAACCATTCTACAACATCAGTGGTGGGCTAAATATACATACACGTAATATAAAACCCTCAGAGATAAACCGTGATAGTTTTCAAAAGAGGCTCCCTTCAGTTCCTGAACTATATCGGTGTTTGTGCCTCGAATGCAAAACTCCACGGGCTGCATTTATTTTGTAGTCTGAGCCTAATGGAACCTAATAGCAGTGCTCTTAAGGTAATGAAAAACATTCTACAGTATCTCTCTTCCACTCTTCCAAAGTACCAGTCCCTTTGTGTGTGTCTGTAGGGTTCTCTTCTTACCCCGCTTCCCTAAACTTTTCCTTTAAAAGTTTGGTGTTAGCAATAAAGCCTTATGATTTGGAGAGTTATTATTTCTAATTGAAATAGAATATCTGTGCTCATTATTCAGTGTTGCACTTGATATGGAAAATATTTCCCGGTTTAATCAATACAGCCAGCTTTGTTTTTCACCATAAATAACAAAGTGGCAGGTAGAAGGGGCTTCTGACCTTACTGGTCCTCTAACAGCTTTGGATCAAAAGAAGCTGGTGAACCACTTGGGTCTATAAGTCTTCTTTTCTGTGATTCCATCATGTCATGAGAATATTTCCATGGATATTTTGTTTATACAGAAAAACTGAACCCAAATCTCAAACCACCATTTATAAAAGCCACAAATTCCTGGGCTGTCATTTGGTCGCAGACTCTGAGCTCCCTTTCTGGATGGGTTATGTGTGGTGGGTGCTTGCGTGTCTGAAGGGGATGCATTTTCAACGCAAGACAGATTTAAGGATATAATTTGGTGACATTTTGCTGACTGTACGCTGTGGCACACGTGCTTCTTTATAGATTTTACTGTTTCAGCTATAGTTATCTTTTAGCTCTACTTGAGGCAGGCCCCATAGTTTTGTGACTCCCAGTCACATGGGATGGCTCAGTAAACATGTTAGCTTTTCCCTGTTAACTTTAGTACTATTCTTTGGTCTGTGTGTATGAATCAGATGAGTGAGCTGCCTAAATACCATTAAATGAGTTGCCCCTTTTTTGGTTTATGTCCTGTCCCAATTTTAAGTTTTCAAATTGAAATCTAGCACTTAACTACTACCTTTCACTCTCTGCCTTTTAATTTTGAATACCAAATATGGCAGGGTTACTCAGGTGGCCAGCTAGACTTTTTCTGACCTTGAACGTGGTTTACTGGTATTACATTAAAAAAAAAAAAGGATGTCAGTATTTGCTGTTTTAGGGAGCTTGAGCATTTGAGAATTCCCAAAGATCATTTTTAAAGTCTGACATGCAGCTGCCTGACTTCTCCATTTTTAGCTAAAAGGCGCCTTCTCTGTGTTCATATTTAAGTGAGGCAGGAATGCAGTGCTGGGGTAGGTTGCCATGGGTTAATCGTTGGACACTTCGTATTTGACAGACAACAGCATCTGTGGTATACGTTGCACCATTCTTTGGGTTAGAAATAACATTCTCTTAACTCTGATGGTAGTCAGGGGAATGCTTACTAAGATCAGCTTTCTTTCACTTGTACAGTTTTAAAGCTGGAGGTGAAACAAAACACAAGTATGAGTTGAAAAAAATTTTATCATGTAAAAAGTAGTTCATGCTACTAGTAAGGCTGAAGTAACCCTGGGAACTCGTTTGTGGTAGAATGGTCATTCAAGTGTATTCCTTTTGTTAGGTACTTCTTGTAGCTATGTGTCTTAATATGGTTGCTAGGTATTAGTATATACTTCTTGGGGGAAAAGCATGTTTTCTTTTTTGTTGGGAGGGCATATAGATTCCAGCTGAGGTGTTTTATTAGCGAATTTCCACAGCACATTCCAAAAGTCAAAGGAGATACGGTTGTTGTAATATAATGCTGTCTAGGTAAGAGAGTCTTTGTTGAAAGTTGAGCAGACCACAATTCATTTATATGCAGTCTAAGAGCTTTAGGTCCTATAATGTAGGACATATAATCTTATTAGAAAGCTCTTTAAAATCAATTTAAAAAATCTTAAAAGTGTGGTAACATTGAGTCTATTCTTTTACACAAAATCCATTTTCAATTAAATTACTCTTTAAATATACTACAATTTTTTTTATTTTAAAGAGACATTCGCCCTACCTATATGTTCACAGCTGTCAAAAATACATGCCATTCTTTATCACACAAATCTGTATTCTCAGCCTTTTCAGAGCCTGATCCCGGGGGCGGCCATTTTGCTAAAAATGCAGGTAAAGATTAGCAGCCTCAGCCGGGATAGTGCTTGCTCAGAATGTTTATCATTTCTTCACTTAAGGTGAATGTCACTTCCAAAATTTTGAATGACATAAAATTAAGGCCAGAGAATCAAATATCAAAAGTAAATTTCACAAGTGGAAATGTCATTAGTATCCACTCATCAATTTCTGAAATCTAGAAGCTGGGAGACCATTGTACCATTATAGCCTACTGATATTGAGCTGATAGCAAATTTAATGAAACACGCTGGCAGTTGTGAAGGGCAGCTGATAATAATGATGCATACTCAACAAAAAAGTTCAGTAAAATCTGCAGGAGGTGTTTTCTATTATTTGGCCTTGTCCTGTTGGCATTTGCTTGGCCAAAGGGAGGTGTTCTTCTTATCTTTGTAGCTATAGAGATTTTAACTGTGCTTAAAAGTCCTGAGTATGCATTTCTGTGACTGAAGCTCTTTAGCCAGACATAGAAGCAGCATAGTTATAGGAAAATCCATCCAAAGCTACAATATTCACACAAACCTGAAACAATTTGCAAACTTTTCTGGTAATCAAAATAAAGGAAGTCTTTTTGGCTATTGAAAACCTCCTTTCCCCTTTCTCTTCAAGATGCAGTCAATGCCTACATAATCTTAGAAGATAGGGTGATCACAAATATTTTTCCTGAGGGTTGATGATGTGTTTTGATGCTTAACCACTTCTCTATAAAGCTAGATGAGCTCTTTTATGTAATTAGCACCCTAAAAAATACAATTGGTCATGTTTCTGCCCTGCAAAGTTTATGAGAAAAAAGTTGGCCTAACAAAAGGGCCAAATGCATTAATTAAAGTCTCACCTAAGTAGGTTAATGGGATATAGATGTTTGGTTTTCATAGAGCTTAGAAAGGGTACTGAGTCCTGAAATGTTGTTTGAAAAGCTTTGCTCTATAAAATTTGCCTTTAACGCAGCTGATGACCCTTATTTAAAATGTTATACTTGCTGGTGTGATGTCTGTTTGAGAAGAAGCACTGCTGGTGTGCCTAGGAATTATTAATTTTAGTGTATTAAGATACCTTTGTCTGAGCATGGCATTTCTGAGTACCTGTCTTCTCTGCTCTGTTTCAGGTGTGAATCATGATGGTGTGGCAAGGCCTGTGATTTACTCTTTGGTGGGCATGCCTGAGTGTGATTAAGGGATTTAAGTGCAGGACTCGAAGATTTACTTCCTTCCTGTTCCAGCAGGGTAACCTGAGGGAGTGAGTAATGGGATAATTTATAACACCGCGGGCTCTTCGTCAAGAGACCACTAGTCAAAACAGGAAGATCAAACTCAGGTTTCAATGGGAGGACTACAACTTTTGATACTCTCTGGACATACCTCTTAATTACAAGCAGAAGATCTTCAAGAATTTTCCTAAGGAGATGTCCAAAGGTTGGTATGTGAGTCCTGGCTAAATTATGTAGACACTGTTAGGTTGGATACATTTTTCCCTTCTTTTGGATTCTTGATATTCTAACGTTGCTGGGATATAAAAACAACTTAGTGGCCTAATTATAGAGCTCTAGGTCTTTTTACAATGTCAAAGAATTATCAGGTATTAGGTGTGTAATGAAAAATTAAAAAAAATTATTTTTGAGGAGTGGAGCTTTTCTGTCAGCCTGTTTCTTAGAATCTGTTTTCTTTCAGATACAGTTACTAGTTTTGAGTTAAAGAAATGGGGCACAGTAAAGTGGATAAATTGTTTCTTCCATGGCCAGAGATAGCTCAGTGGTAGAGCTTGTGTTTAGTATGCACAAGAACCTGGATTCTACCTCCGGCCCATCCCCATTTCCTCAAGACATTTAACCCCCGCTACCCCCCATCTACGTGTATTTAGGACAAAAATGCTTAGATGGCTTTGGAGAATGCTTTGTCTAGGGATTTATTTTAATTTTCAAGCAAATATAGTAGTATTTGCAAGTAAGGCATTTGGTAATGTTCAAATGGTTTATTTCATTACGAGTGGTTCTCATTATTGGATTTTGTGTTTTGTTTTCATATTTTAAAACATTTAAAACAAAAGATAAAGCATTTAGAACAGAAGTCATCCTGTCATGAAAGTCCATCCACTGTCAGTGATGGAGTCTCCCTACTTGTTATTGTTCCTAAGATTGGCTCTATGAATATTGAGCATCACAAGCGGTATTTTTATGTGAAAAATATTCATTTCACTTTGGAACGCCTTAGTGCCTGGACTTCTTATTTTAGAGATCGTAAAGATAGAATGGGAACAATTCCAAACTCTTCCTTTTCTTGCATCTGCCCCAGGTGACTCAAGCATTCCCATAAATAACTGGTACCCTTTTGAACTGACCTTCAGGTTCATGAGATGTAAATATTGATGGCCTTGACTTTTTTTTCCACTCAGTGCACAGTTCAGGAGATACAATATCTCCAGATAACTGGAAACAGGTGCGACTGGTAGGTAGCGAGCCCGGGGCTTTGCCTGATCCGGTAATTCTGAGGGAGCCCAGATAAGGCCCGGTTTCTGGACTTTGTGCGGAGGGATTTCTCGTAGACAAAGCAGTGTACAGGTTCAATTCCTCCAAGTGTTTCTTTATCCAAATCTTGCTGGATTGGACTTCTCTAGATGTCTGAATTGTCTGGCCTCATTCATGTTTTCCAAGGCAAATATTATGTGTTCCCATCCCTGAAATGAAGGGATCCAAGTGCTGTTACTTCCTAGGGAGATACGGTGTCATAGTTACGTGCCAGGGAGCAGAGTTTTCAGGCTCAAATCCTGCTCTGACTACTTACTGGCAATGGGATCTTAAGAAATTATTAAACCTGCCTCACTTTCCTCGCCTATAAGATGGGGGTAAAAATAACATTTACGTTTTCTTTTTCAAAAAAATTAATTGAAAGCTATCCAATCATGATGAGCAATTTAGTAGTCTTATTACATTTCTGTATTAGCAAGCTTTCAGGTATCCGTCCTGTGCCCATAAAAGTAACCTTCCAAGCCAGGAAGACCTACAGCTTAAGAAAATGTGGGAATTTGAGGTTTGTGTTCCTGGAGTGGATATTCTGTTATGAGGAAATCATATACTAAGGACTAAAAAACGGACTATAGCATTTATTTTGCAAAATGCTCTAGCAAGTTTTATTTTCTTACTGGTTATAAAGTAATTTTCTGCTTTTATGAATGTATTAGAAAAAGGAATGTTAGAATATTTGGCTTCACTCTGTCGTCAAGCATTATTGGTAGGCCTGGTTTATGAAGCCCACCCCTTGCTGGGATAAGTACAGTGCCTGAGGGATGGCACAACACTCTGTTTTGGGTCCTTCTTTCACTGAGAAGCAAAGGTGCCATGAGAGGGTCCTTACCCATATGTTTGTCAAAGCATGGTGTGTATTACCTGAGCGGTTAGGCACGTCACCCAGAGAGAGGTTTGAAAAACTGAAGGGAGAAAGGAAAAATTGTAAATAAATTAACATGATGGAAATGACAGAAGCCTCTTCTGCAAAGAACCCTGGAACGATTCTGAAAAGCACACTTAATGGCCAGCAACAGAACCATTCACTGTTGTCTTTGAGAAACAAAACCTGATCCACAAAGTTGAAACTGAAATATGAAGCTGGGTGTTTTCCAGGGAAGTCCAGCAATACAAGCTGCTAGGCCTCAGATTCAAGGGGAGAAAAATCCATTTTACAAAGTAACTTCTTTCACTGTGAGCTGTCAATGTTTGATGGGTAGATCCTGAAACATTAACTGATTAAATTCTTCAGTGCTATGTGGTCATCACAGGGGCCCCCACGGTTCTGAGCTTCTGTATTTGTGCTCTGAAACACGAGACAGTCACTAAATGAGGAGCGGAGAATAGATTGGCGCATTTTGGCATCAACCTGATTTTTCCTAAGCAGAACCAGCAGAAAAATGTTGAATGCAGTTGAAATAGTATTGATTGCCTATGCTTTATGGCACCTAATAAATCATCCAGTCCCTTAAAAACACCCCATATGCCAAGTTCTCTTTTTTCCAATCATAGTTACACAGAAATTGCATGGAGGAAGAGAGATGTGGGCAAGTATTTTGCACAGCATTGGACACCTCACCAGCCCTTTTCCTTCACGCTTGTAGGCACTCATACTGTTTAGTTCCACTTTGTGGGTGAGAGAAGAGTCTGTCTCCCACCTGGGTATTTTAACCTAGGTGGCCCCTGCCCCAAATCTAGGTACTTCCTCGGAGCCTTTTTGCCCATATTCTGGGAGTGGGGTGTGGTCTGACGCCCTCCACCCCCGATTCTGGGTTTCTCCGTATACCTCAGCATCTCTGGGCTAATGACCTTGTGAGAATTTGGGTGGTGGGGGCTCCAGTGATCACCTGGGATGCAGAATCAGAGGTCCAGGGAAGTGAAGAAATTAGGTGAAGGTCATTCAGCCCACAAATGTCAGGGCTACACATACAGGCTGTGTGAGTTCAGTTTTTCCACTGAGGCGTGCTGGGAAGTGTGTGGTAAAGTGTGGGCTTCACAGCGGTTAATGGACTGAAGTGGCTGATGCAGGAATGAAAGGAAAAAGAGGAGGCAGCTAAACAAAGAATCGGGGCTGTAGATGGGTTTTGATGGAAGTTGTATTAGAGGAACACCCTTTGGTCAGGAAGCATGAATATTCTTTCTCTAATATAAGAGAAAAGGAAAAGATTAAAAGTGTGCCAAAGATCAGACTTTTTGGGTAGCTGTTTACTTTCTATTGAAATTAGGGAACAATGAATATTTATTCATCCTCAGGTCATTTAGAGTGATGGAGTATGGTCAATTCTGATTTCACTCCTTGCCTCCTGTGGCCTATGCTACCTTTTGTTTGGCTAAAAATGGGCTACAAGAAAAAGCCAGTGAAGAGCTTTCCAGATCTGATAACTTCAGATGTCTCAGAAGAAACCTCTGGCTTGAGTCCCAGGGTGACATCAACATCTGAGTCTGGTGTTTTCAGTCTGATATTGGTTGGATTTATGATGGGATGTCACCCAAAGTACAAGGCATGCTGCCATGATTCCTGTGAGCCATTTGTCAGGTGGTGAGAATGGTTCTCAGTCAGCTTTCTACTTCAGACTACCTTTCAGAGGCACAGCCCACCCATGAGCCTAAGCGTATCCTTTTAATTGATAGTTATAAATTCATGTGGAAAACACGACATTTTGGCAACTGGAATTAGGACTTAGTCCTTTTTTGTGTTCACTTATACTCCTGAATTTGTACCTGTCTGATTATGTCCTGAGCCTGGTGTTTTAGTTTCTGCCAATCTGTTTTCATAATTACCCAAGGACTCATTTTATGGGAAGGCGTAGTTAAATTGGACAAGAAATACTCGATTACTTATGCCCCATGTTATCAAAACAAAAAGTAACCAGGTACAGTGGTGTGCCCCTGTAGTCCTAGCTAATCCAGCAGCTGAGGCAGGAGGATCTCTTGAACCTAAGAGTTTGAGACCAGCATGAACAACATAATGAGACCCTGCTCAAAAAGGGTATCAAAAAAGATAGGAAAGAGAGAAGGGGGGCAGTGAGAGAATATGAGAATGAACAAATGAAGAAGAAAAAGTCTATTCAATATGTGTAAATGGGAATAATGTTCATGGTAACAACTCATATTTACTGAGTGCTTGTACCTTATGAATTATTAGGAGGACCCTGTGAAGTTTGTACCCATTTGGCAGACAAGGAGCTGAGGAACAAGAGAGGTGATTAGAGACGTGCAGTGTCTCAGAGGACTTCGGATGAAGTTAGAAAATTAATACCCCACTTAGTAAGCTCGAATGCCTAAATGCCTGCTGGCAACCTGAGTGTGCGAACATTGTGCCTGTTTTTACTTTCCCAAAGGAGCCTACAGTGGAATGGAGGTGTAGGCTAAGATTTAAAATGTCCTGATAGTAAGGAGAAGGTGACTCTAAGGGGAGCACAGTGGCAATGACTTGGATAATTTTCCAACTTTACTTGTCTTGGGATCAACTGTGTTAAAAGTAAAAGCACAAACCTAAGGAGAATGGATTCATCAAAATCTAAATGCCACACTGTGTATGTGAAGTGACAACTTCATCAGATGGCAACAAGAGAAGGTAGCCAGCTTGTGCAACCATGGGAAAGGACATCCTGCATGTGCTCAGCAACTAGTTTTATACCTTGGGTGTTAACACCTTTCATCCTGGTCCTCAGTGGTGAATGTCACTGGATGGGACCAAGCTGGAGAGGAGGAAGTGTAGACAGTGTGATGGCTGAGAAGCAATGTGCATGAGCTTATCTGTCATCTCCTTGGGAGTCCATAGTGTTTGGTGGTGAGGGTTCTTGCGATGGGAGGGAAGAGTAGTGACAGTTAAGGAGGCAGGAAATCCCTAGTGACATGATTTTGTACTCCACTTTGCTCTGTGGTTTGGGGTCATGAATTCCATAAAGTGTC